ATTGTTCAACAGCTTAAAGTGTGAGACAGTAATAGAATTCCTTTGAAATTCACCTTAGCTATCTCAGTACACTCTGTATATATCGCACCAATATTGCAATGATGGGGAACACATATTATCATGTAACTCTTCCATGAACAACATTTAAGTGGTCTAGACTCCCTAAATGAGACTGTTTGTGTCACAGACTGATGGGACATGCCCTTCCCTTACATGTGAGTTGTAACCTGTGAAAGAAGATGCTTTCTCCTAAAGATGTGGGCAGCTAGAGAATGATGAGACATGCTAGTACTGTGAACTAGGAGGGCAAAACCAAGCTCTGGTCAGTTGCACAGAACTGAGTCTGCACTAATCAATCATGCGAGGAGGCAAGAACTACATATAGGCATAGCTAGTAAATGACTGTACCTGGCAAAATAAGCATGCCCACAGACTGCTTATTGGATAACGCTGCCTTGTGCAGAATGTACAGAGTCACTAGAGTATCTCTATGAGGTCCTAGCCTGGATTCAGTCATCTATGACATTTTGTTTTTAATGTTGTTGAGCAGCAAATTGGGGTGCAGCACATAATACTGAAACTAGCTTCCCAAAGGAACAGAAAATGCTCTTGGCTAAAGTATATGACTGTGCTTTCTTTTATTTGTTTGATCAAATATTTATTATTTTGGACATGGAGAAGAAAAAGGGGGTATGAATTTTGATTACAAAATATTTGTTATCTTGGAAGAAATGAGATCTAAAAGTTTTGAAAATGAAACATAGCAGCCTTATTTCAAGGCTCCCTTCCATGAGGCTGTCTTCTATATAAGGCTGCATCAACACAACTTTCACTTGTACATCGCTCACCACTTCATACTATGCTTAATAAAATAAAAAACCCCATAAAAGTTTGGCACCTGAGGACAGCGATGTCATGAAGGAGAGAGCCAATACAATGTGCGCTTAGGGCCTGACTTACAAGTTCTATGTAACTACACCTATCAAAAATTATTTAACTTCTATTCAAACTTTAAAACTCTTCCCTGCCTGTATTAAAAAAGTGCTGTGAGAGTATGAAGTGCACTAAACTGTACTACCTTGATATAGGAAAAAAATATGAGGAATCCCCTTGCTTCTTCTGTGAGTTGCTAAGAAACAAAGAAAAACACTGTTGGTTCATCTCTCATTAGGTCTTCTCTATTTTAACCTTTATCTGTATTGCTTTGAAAGTATTTTTTCTTTTTCTTTTTTTTTTTTATTGTCACAGTTCATAGCTGCAAGACATCAGCAGCTAAATAAAGTTAAAACTGTTGCTTATTAAAGAGTAGCTAAATCACCTCTAAGCAGATTTTGACACAGGAGTTTTTTTCCCTATATATGAATTATGATTATGACAACCTTTCCATTGACAGTTAGCATTTATCATAATCCAGATTGGTTTCCTAGAATTCTGTCATTCAAAGTACGGAGAAAATCCTTAGGGTGTTTACCTGTTCCTTACAAGCAAAGACTATGGGAGCCCAAATAAGTATTTTAACTTGTAGTATTAGCATAAGAATGTCCATAAAAATGTGTTAATTTCAGTGGGGAGTGCAGCTATAATATAGCTTGGTAGTGCTGCTAGAAAGAGAATATTCACCTCAACAACTTGCCCTGATAAGGGAATTACAAAACAGTACTCCAGAAAATATTTTTTGCTACTTCATTATTAGTTGGCAACATGGTGAAATAGTCAGGAAATCTTCCTTGGGTTTTGTTGCTGTGAAGGTGAATCCAATGTTAACAAATCGAATTTTTGATACTGAATGAAGAGAATTTCATAACAAATGCGTAGATTGAGAAGTCACTTGTAAAGCCCTCCATATTGCAGTCACTCCCTGCAAAGCCTCAGCTTAGTGTTATCCACGTGTAACGTATCACGGACACAATATGCTTCAGCAAAGTTTGGTAGGTATTGAACATACATTACTGCTTTTTGAGATCTTCATAGAAAAAAAAAGAAAGAATGCTTGACAGGTTGGTCCCAGATTTGAGTCTGTTAGAAAATGTACATTCAATGTTTGGTCTTCTATTCTTGATAAAAGATCAAGGTTCACTTCTGGGTAAGGAATCAGAGTAAACGAACAAACCATTGTACAGTTGTTTACAATCTAGTTTCCCCCCCGCCCCGTATATTGTACACACGGTTCATTGTAATACTAAAGCAAAGCACTTGGTATGTAACTGATTTAACAGACTCCTTATAAGCCCTCAAAAATAGATTCAGTGAAAAGCCCATGTTTTTTTAAGGCCACGATAATCTGCCAAGAGTCTTTTTGTCTTTAAAACAGCATAATTAATCTGATGTTTCCACTTCTCAAGTAATTCCTCTTCTTCCTCTCCATTTCTCACAAGATGACCCAATGCCTCTCACTCTATCTGCGTAAACACTGGAGATCTTGAACGCTTGGCTGTCCCCTCACTACTTGCTTGTAGTTGTTGAGATCCAACGTTGTCTTGAACTACATTCACAGCGAAGAAGAACTTTGAGTATAATCTCTGATGAGGAGCGTGTCATACTTTGGGGAGGACGGGATACAAAGAGCTGATTCGGAAGCCGGAGAGCTGGGAGATGCACTTCCAGAATCGATGGAGTCTCTAAAAGGAGAAGGAGGAGTTAAAGCTACCAACTCCTCAAGGTCTTGCTTGGCTGATGGCGTCTCTGAAGTGCCTTCTTTGACACTGCCATTTGAAGGTTTCCTAGCTGACTGTGAAGCGCCATTGACTTCAATGGCAGGAAGTGGTTGAATCTCTGCAAACGTGGTCATTGTTGTAGGAAGCTGGATTTCCCGTGGAATCAGGTATGAAGAGCAGAGAGGAGTGGCCACCATTGTCCCTGGAGTGGCTGTTGAAAGCATCATAGAGTTCAGCTCGCTGATATTGGCTGTAAAGCGAGTAACCACGCTACTGATCTGCTCCATGAGGGAGCCTTGAGAGGAGCTACTTCGCTGAGGAGGCTCTGACTGGAAGGTAGGGGCATCATCTTCTGTTCGGCTAACGGAGGCAGTTCTGTGGCTCAAGGTGCTGATAGGTGAGGGAGTCTGCGGTCGGTACTGAGCTGGGTATTGCTCTTCTGCTTCCGAAACCTCGTAAAGTGTTTTGGCACTGGCCTCAGGAAATGTAGCGCTGCTACTATGTCGGCTACTATCTGTGCTTTTAGAAAAAGGCTTGATCACTGCAGTTTGATTGGGGTTCTCTTTTTTGTTGATGTGGATTGACAACCGCTGCCAAAGATGTGCTCCTCTGCTGCTTTTCTCGTTCTGGGCCCAAGAAACCGATTTCCCATTAGAGCTGTAAACAGAAATGAGGTAAGATGGTAACTTGCATCAAAGTTAAAAATATAATCACTGTACCTATCCCATGGGTATGTGGTATCCCACAGCCTATGTTCATCACAAAGCTGACTGTAATTTCATCTGTGTCTATCTATTGCAATATATCTGTATCTATCATTTATACCTATATGTTCCAGGGAAACAAGCCATTTGTGCATTCAGGCGTGACCTACGCTGTGCTAGTTCGTGGCCACCACTGATCCCTCCGTTGTTGCCCTTGCGACACAGGCAGCGTCCGTCTTGGGGGATGGAACAGCTTGATGGCTTCTCTTATGTTGGACTGATGTCAGGAAGGGGGCCTGTGGGGCTGAGGGATGCATGGGGGAAGAAGTAAATGATTGAAGGGAATAGGTGAGAGACCTGGACTGGCTGGCTTGTAGGGGGCAGGTGTGTAGGCTGGCCTGAGAGCATTCAGTGGTAAGGAGCTTGATGTGGGGCACTGGCTGTGGATTCCTGGCATGGGGCAGGGAGTGTGGACTGGGAGATGGACAAGCGTAGTCTCTTATGATTCTATGATTCTATGATTATGGCTGGGAAAAAAATCTGTTTATATTCCAGTACTTGGAAGTACTGGAGCAATACTCAGAAAGGCACTACACAGGTTGTGGGTGGAGAGATGCTTCTAATGGGTGGCCTCTTCTTCATCAAGGTACTTGGTAAGTTAGCCACCACTAGCTTAAAGAAATTAATTTTTTTAGTTGCAGGTCAGCTCAGAGAATAAAACTATATTCCTAGTAGGAAAGAAATAATGGATAAGCTATCCAAGCAGCTCCTCACATTGACCTGAGTTTGGACACAGCAATAAACATTTTGCTCCACTCTCCTGCAGAATGAGTCCTCTTAGGGTAATTTCTCTTTAGATCCCATCATACCCTGCTCTTTATCAAAGTTGCCTTTATTTCTCCTCTTGCTACCTAAGGAAAGCCAGCTGCGGCACTTACAAAGACATAGTGTGAAACCACTCCTTTCCTTTTACATCTTCCTTAGGCTGATGAGCTGGTGTTTATACGTACATTAACCTATAGTTCCTGGGATTAAGAAAGACCATTAGAACTATTTCTTAGCTGAAACAAACAATGGCTCTGAAATGATGTCAACAGGAAAAGCATAGTCTCCACATACAAATAAGCATGATTTATATATAAAATGCAACAGAACTTTAAACAATTCGCTTTGATTTCCAAAACATTTGCTACAGCCATTTAGGATTTTTGGAAAGACAACCACATTGGAGACCCTGGCAGAGTACCACAAATTTGTCGTTTGTTTGTTTGCTTTTTAAGCCTGAAATAGATATACTTACATGTTAGCCTGCAGTGTAACAGTTTGCAAGACACATAGTTTACTAAACACAGATGACTTTATACCAGCCTTCATGTGGAGGCTGGCCACACACTATCAGTGTAATAGCTCTTCCGGTCATCTAAAAAAAAAGTTGTGTGCTGAGCGTAAACAAAACCTTCTTGTGAGTTCCCATCCATGATTACATTACATGGAATTATGATGGATCATGTAACACAACGTATGCCAACAACTTTCCCCTTCAAAAGCAGCGTGACAGAATCCAATAGACAAACACAACGTAAACCAGTGGGTATTTTAAGAGAGGCTAGACTGGGAGATGATCTGTATGAGTATATAAGGGCTCACCCCTTTGCTGCAGTGATCACCAGGTTGTTATCTAGATCTTGGAAGTTAACTGTTATGCACCTACCCCCAAAATGCCAGGCAGAACAGCTGGTGGCTTGTAATTTGCTGTTCAGACAATCCCTTCCTTTTGCTGTACCTCAATCAGAGCAAGAAGGAAAAGCAAAATCTAATCTGTAGCATTGATCACTTTGACTCTTCGCATCTCTGTGGATGCGATTCTGAGCTGAACAGGAGCTGACACTAATGTCTTCCAGAGGAAAACTGTGGTCTCTGAGGTTCGCAAGCTTCTCTTACTGCAACATGTACTCGGTGGGCGTTGAGAGGTGTTTGAGAGCCCTGGCTCCTTGGTCATACTGAGTCCTGAGCTCAGTGGGAGACTGGTGCCAGCATCAGGAGCAGGATTTGGATGCTTTGGCAGGCGAGATCTTGCTGCTAGTTCTGATATAATGACCATGGGACCTCCTCCCAGCTCCTGCTGAGTTTGAGCTGGACCAGAAGGCTGGGTGACGTGGCTCTTGTAACTTTGATGTGGCAGAAAGAGAGGGCCTAGTTCCAATCCTCGATGTCCTCCCTGGTGGGGTCTCTCAACTCCTGCTGAGTTTGGAGATCAGGGGGATCTGTGACAGACCTGTCTGCCACAGAGGTGAAATAAATGCCATTAACATGAAGGATTAGTCAATGTGAATAGAAATGTTTGCCCAAAGAAAGAGGTTTATTCTAGCACCCCTTATGACTTCAAGCACTGGCTTCGTACAGGTGTTCAAACCCTATGGCTTTAAGTGTGTTCATGAGCATTGAATGCACGTAGACATTTTCAGTTGACTGAAGGTCAGATTGTAAGAGGTTGTGAAAGGTATGTATCACTCCCTCCCTGGTCACCATTCAGAAGACAATTATTAAGGAGGGATATGAGGCTGAGGAGCCTGGGGAAAGGAAAAGGATGAAATCTGGGGGTGTATCCAGCCCTCAGCAAGGGCAGCTGACAGTTAAATCTTCAGTGGAGAAACTGTCACCAGCCCCCATGGTTCCCAGTTTAGTTTTGGGTTAGTCTTGGCTGATGCACTCATTTTCCACCTTTGCATTGTGCTCAAAGGCAATGAAGCTGTATGTATGGCTCTCATAGAGATCCTAGGGCTCTAAAGGAGACCCAGTGGCTGTTTGATGTAAATTTTGTGCAAAAGCCTGAAAGACTTGACCATTATTAGTTGCAAATTCCTTGATTTAAAAAACAGAATAGGAAGCAGGCAGCAATTTATCAGCAAGGAATGAACTTACAGTTAAAATCCTAGTAGTTTGCCCAGCAACAATTGGAATTGTTATCTCAGAAATGTATCATCCACTTTATCATGCTACACCTACTTACTACAAAATCAACACTGGACTGAGGTGTGCAATCATTTATCACGTCTATGAAAGGAGCACCACTTGTTTTCTCATGTTGATATGGAGCTGGGTTACAGGTCAATTGCAGTGATGGTACCTTAAGATCCTGCTCTAAGTGCTTGTTGCTACTCTGTCAAGTTAACTGGAAAGCACTGCAATGCACACAATTTAAAAGTAGAGAAATAAAGATAGATCAGAGACATAGACTATGATGTCTACTAATGGAATTGTTTACATTTATTATGCCCAGCTCTGCCATGACCCTTTGATAATGGGAAACTTTAGATCCGTGAAATTTTAAAGTTTTCTTGCAAACAGATTTTGGCTGCCTCAGATTAGAACAGAAGAATTATGCTTTTGAGCTCCCAAAGGAATTCCACTGCTAAGTTTGGCTGAATACACATTTTTCTACCCCACTCTGCTTTTCTGCTGGTGCCATGCACTGAATAGAGCAGAGTACAGGTCATATCTGTAGAAGAGAAACTCCAATCAGTGACATAATTTCCAACCCAAATTGTTAGCAAAACACTTTCTTTTTGGTAAAATAAAGCCTTTTGCATGGCACATATTTTTAATTTCTTTCACCACAGGTTAATTAGGTTCGGCTTTATGTACAAGAGGGATTTCCTCAGAACCAGTCATACTAATTGTTTCTCGAGCCTCTTTACTAAAAGCTCCTTTGATTTTGATAGCTAGGCTTTTTCCCAGCCTGCTAGACCTACCATGTTTTAATATGTACAAGAAATGAAAGTGGTATAAATGAGAGAGCTTTTGAAGTCCCTGATACTTCTAATATTTCCTCTGTCATTGTCTACTTGCTGATAGAATAGCAATTAGTATTGTTTCTCATTTTCTTCCCTTACTTAGTCTTTTTAGAGTCTCTTAAGTTTGGTCTTTAGGGCTTTGTTCTGTATTCATAAAGGATATTAATTGCTTTTTATCCATTTGGGTGTTAAGGAAAATGTTCCCCTCCTCTTACAGGTTTTTGTTTGTTTGTGTTTTTTAATTGTCTAGAAAAGATCACTTTGTCCTTTTTTTTGGTTGAGGTAGTGGAAGTTTTGTTTCATCATTTCTTTGTCTGTGGTATGATTATTTATGAGATGGGGCACAGCTCTGCCACCAGGGTTTCTTTAGCTAGATGCTATTAAAGCAAATGTGTTTTGTGAGGTCCTTCAAAATGCAGAAGAAATGAAAAACAGGAAGAGGAATTCACAGTCACAGCAGCTGAAAACTCTCATATTTTAGCAAGGATGCCATTCTCATTAATTACCTGCATTTTCTAAAATTAATTCTGATGATGAGTGCCTAGGGACTAGAATTGGGACAGTTAGGGAAATCATGTGTAATTTGAAAATAAGTCACTTATTCTCTTGTTAATAACTTTAAAAGAAATAGGAAAATCAGTTTAAAATGATGAGATTTGTTATTTTCTAAGAAAGCTTAGAATGCCTAGCTATGTATTGTTATTCCCCAGTGGAAACTGGAATACAAGGGCAATCAATAGAGATTAACACAAAAATTTAAGGAAACTTTTGAATTTCTGTTCTCTATCATGTACCAATATCAGTATTTGATTCCAGATTTGAAATGATACAACTGAAAACAGATACTGGACAATAACTTGATGGAGTCCTCTATGATCTGTTTGCAACCTGTCCTCATATAAATATAATAAGGAATTCTTTCAAATTCTTTACTTTATAAATCCATGCAGGAAGGTTCACATTTCAGAGCTCTGGTCTAAATTCTAGTGAGCTAAAATTGGCAGCAGTTATGCTCAGATATTTCAATGGCTAAAATAGAGTGTTGCATTCAACCTTGAAGCAGTATCTTGTTTTTTAAGAAGCTGACATAGTTAATGCTCCAACTGTGAAGACAAAGCCTGTTTCTTAAGGACAGTCTTCTCTTCGCTTTAAGGAAGAAGTCCCTATATCGTATTAACAGAAGCAGCTGGCAATGGTAAGCAGGATACACTTCTGTACTTTACTTAGTCCATACAACTTTCTGCCAAGGAGAACTCCTGTTATTCAAAATAAATCATAAGAAGCTGTTGTCCTTTTAGAGTCCTCTGCTGAAACCTTATTGCAGAATCAATGATATAATTACTTTGCCTGAAAAGGGTTTAGATTTAATTAAAAACTGACTCTTCATAAGGGGTGATTGGTGTGTGTGCCTGTGATGCGTACAAGCACATGTGTATTTTGTTTCTCTAGTCTTGTCACCTGAACCAGTCTCAGATCAATATATATTTTGCTTGTAGCGACCCAAGTTCTTGATCCCTGGGAGAACACAAGTGCCTTGAACATGCTAAAAACACTGAAATGAAGTAAGTGGCGAACTCCAGTATACCTGTATGAAGAAGTCATAGTTTCTCCTGGGACTGTAGGACAACCTTGGTGACTGGCTAAAACTGGCCGAGAAACCTAAAGGTATCTAAACTAGGTCAGTTTTACTACTGCAATGGTTTATGTTGTTTCTATTCCTCTCATTTTAAACAGCTTTTAAGGAAAACTCTACATGCCTATATAACTGTTTCCCTGGGTGAAAGCCAATTCTGCCACACACAAATACCTGCTAGTGATACATCACTCAAGCTTAAATTATTCCCATGTTGCTTGTTCTATGGAGATAAATAGCAATGAAACACAAAAGAGGAATGATACAGGGCAAAAATTCATTTTGTCCTGTCCTGAGTTCTAGAAGTAAACAACATATTTTGCAATTATTTTGCAGAGTTGTTTTCTGTTAACAACAGCGAGCACATTTATTTGTATTACTCCATGAACTGTAGTTTGTTGATACTTCCTTTCCTCATGAAAATCAGAGCTGACTTTCATATGAATGACTTCAATATATAAGGTTGAAAGAAACTAGAAGTGAGAGAGAGCCGGCGGACAGAATCTTTGCCAATGACCTCCCAACACAGCCACCAGCAACGCTAATGCTGGCAGCTGCAGCATGCCTGCTTAGAATAGGAAATTAAGGGTCTGGTATCTGAATGAAACATTTCTAGGACACCTATTACCATGATCCAAAATGCAAAAATGATTTTGATACCAGATGTAACTTCTTTCCTCTATTACTGTGACCTCATTGCAATCATTAATTAAGGCAGCTAGTGCTGGGTTTTGCTTCTCATCCAAAAAATGTCACTTTGAGCATCTCTGAGCACATCTCTGGTACACTGGAGCATCCTTTTCACAGGATGGAGAGGACAATGCCACCTCTTGAACTGTGAGTTCTGCTTCCTGATGCAGAAAGCTTTAAGATGCTTTCAACATTGCTTAGTCATCATGGTTTTTCATTTTTTTTTCATTGATAATTTGCTAAAGGTATGAATGGAAACTGGGAAAAATAGGAACCATCAGCTTACCTGACCCTGAAATCAGGAGCACAAGCAGTGCACAAGAAAAAAAAAAAAAAAGGAAAAGAAACATTTAACTCTCCCAGTTGTATGTCCAGAGTCAAGTGTTGATTTGAATTCTATCCTCTGCAAAGAGCATAGAATTGGAGGAAATTCAGGTGTTTGGCATGCCTGATAAATAATTACAGAGGTATTTACACACATGGGACTTACCAACAGAAAAATTACTCTTGTGAATTATTAAGCAGTTTCTTATTCGTTGCATTTAATCAAATCAGAAATGCAAACATCATGCAAGAAATGCAAAAAAGAAGGATGTCATGATGCCTGCTTTGCCTAATAAAACATCCTATTCCATAACTGATTTTATCAGATATAGGTGAATGATGCACAGGTGATGCTGGACGCAGTAACTTGTCTTGATGAGAAAGAGCCTTACAAAGCATCACATAATATACCCATCACCTCTATTTTTATGCCACTTTTCATCTTGAAAAATCCCGTCATTTGTAAGACTAATATACAGAGATAGTCAGGCCCTAACGTGAAAAGCATCGACGCTAGGGTTGGAACACAAAAATAACATTGCATGAGGGATGTGAAAGCATAAGCTGAGCAATACTGTCCAGTATGGAATTGCACAGCATTTTTGAGACTGAAAGGATGTAGGTGGGATTTGATCAGTATCATGGGACCTCTTTGTCCTGTAAGATGATGAGAATTTTTCATTATTCCCAAACGGTCAGACCCTTGCATCTGTCTTTTTCCATCTGCACTTCATCCCAGTGACTTCTAGCACTGGTCTGATACTTACTGAGACAGCAGAATGGCACCTACTTTCCTTTCTGCAACATCTACATTGTCTCTGGGAGGTTCCCAGGCTATTCAGTGGCAACTCTACTTAGCTCATGGAATTTGACAAGGACCACTGGCCAAGACACTGTGGCTGGAGACAACAAAACACAGCCATCAAAGGCACTTGCACTCTCTGTTAAGCAGCAGGTGTTCTTAACTGTTTGAGTAGGTCTTGCAGCTGACAGTCTTGCTGTGGAACTATTAGACTGACACAGTTTCCAGTCTTTTTGACTGTTAGGGCATCCTCTTTAACAGGAACCTTTTTCTCCTCTCTACTTGACTCAGATCGATTACAGTCTGGAATGCAAACAGATTCTTCACTGTGAAGATATAAAATATAAAAAAAAAAGTTTTTCAAGTGTATATATATATATATATATGGCCAGGCAAAACAGAGCTGAACACGGTACAACAAAATACAGTTGTTTGACATTTACATGTACGTTTCTTCTCTTCAAAATTCTCTTATGTAATGACTACAGATAGCTTTTAAATGAAGAATAAATATCACTGAGGCAATGCAATGTAGGAAAAAAATAAACCCAGACAACACACAGACAAGAAACAGAATCCCATCTGACAAAAAATAACAGGCTTGTATCTATTTTGTACAACACTCAGCCATGGATGTTCCTGATGTTACTTTAACAGCAGGAGTCCCCCAGGTGTGTGCTATGGGGCCTTATAGTTGATAGCCTTATGTACATGAGTGAATATTGTTGTACCCAAGGGGAACATAACGCTGTGTGTTTAATTGAACACCCTCCTGCAATGGCAAAATTCACCTGTGATGTAACACTTGGGAAAAGTAAAGGTATAATTTGGTCGTACTGTGCTCTAAGGTTACATTTATAAATACCTTACAGGGGTTGATAAGGACTGAATAGATCTTTTAATAAATAGTAATCAAAATGCTGCTAACTTGTACCAGAATGTTACGCAATGATACAATGCTTATTAAGAGTATGGTTTCATGAAAGATTTATAATCATCTGTGACACATGTGGGTTATTCCTTTATTAATGGAGATATCTAGAGAAATGGATTTTCTGTCCTACGGGAGAGTTCAACATTTGGAAATCTGACTGGACTCAAAATGAGATGAATAGCTGATATCTCCAAGTATTTTACAGACTTAAATAAATTGAAATATTTCAATACAAAAATGTCAAAATGGCCATATTGAAACAGTTCATCCCAGTAACACTGAAAAAATGTAGTATTTGATATTCATTAAAATTGTAGCATTGGTGCGTAATGTCATGCAAATATAATGGCCAAAACAAAACTGAAATGTTTGAAACAAAAATTAAACTAAATGGAGAAAGTTATGAAAAAAGATGTTCTGAACTCTATTTAAAATGGGTTTGAAACCCTTCCTTAAAACCACTGTAAAACTCAGCACTTTCCTCCAAGATATTTTTATTGAGAAGAACCTACATTTTCATATTGAAAATGTTTTCATCAATCAGTTTTTCTCTGCTCTTTTTAAAACCTCTTTTGATGAAACCTAATGTAATCCCTCATATGTAGTGGGACCACTGTTCCAGACAAGTTCTGGAGCTGCTCACTCCAAGTTTGAATGCCGTCTCTCTTCACCTGCTCTACTGGCTTAATGAGTCAAGTGTAAGGCTTCTCCTCCCCAAAGCACCATATTATGACAACATCACACAGGACACGTGGTTTGGATCACTCGAATGAACATGGTGCAGGGTTTTTTTGGTGGTCAGATGGAACATAGAAACCAGCAGTGGCCATTTCTTTTTTATTTTTCTTTTCTAAACATACTATATGGTATGCACAGGAATTACAGACAGAGGATCTGGCCTGGCATTGTCCCAGGGCTGCTCCTCTTGTTTACAGACATATCACACTGCTCTAAGGCCACTTGCTGTTTGCTTACCTGGTCATTGTAGCTCTCCCACCATTCCCCATACTCCCTTTTGGGGTGAAACACTCTATTTCCGACTTGTGCGGGGCCAGTCTCCTGCCTTTGTACCTAATAAATCACGACAACAACAGGAGCAAACAGAAAGAAGTGATTGTGTGCTCAGCTTTCTGTGATAGCTGCTGTGCAAAGGGCCATGCACATGAATGCTACTGTGGTAGCGGTGGGGTATAGTGCAAAGCAGCCGTGGGAGCGGTGGAATAACTGTGTCAAACCCCAGACCTGTGCTAAAGCAAACGGGCTATGCAGCAGAGGTGCTCACCATTTTCTTTTTATATATATACATATATATAGGAGGAGGTACAATATTCTGCAGAATAAATAACATGCTAACCTTTTGTCTTTAATATTTTTTGGAGTTAGTCCAAAATGTTCAGCTGAACAGTTTAAGGGAAACAGCACTTAAATTCAGGTTCAATGAGAAATCAGCTGGTGGCCACATTCTCAATCCTAACTTAATCTTTCTCTCTGATCCTCCATCTCGGTAACACTTGACTTGTTCCTCTGCTGTCAAAGCAAGCACCAGTGTAGTTGATTGCTTAGGTAAAATTTGGGTGGGCTCACAGTTCATGTCGTGAATGGACCTTCCTCTTTCCATGAGCAATATGAGGAGGTTAGATGACTTGCTGAAATGCAGACATAAAATCGAGTGAAACCAACCCCAATCCTAGAGCCCAGTACAGTACTCTGAATGTTTTAAATGTCATACCGTGCACTTGGATGAAAAATTCACTTGGACAAACAGTTTAATACTTGAGGATCTAATTAATCCCTGCCTAGGGTACCAGGATAAGACCTGGACATCGCTTACTCTCTGAGCACTTAACTGGATGTCAGCATTGAAGATGCTTCTGTGGGGAAGCTTGTACATTTTAACACTGCTATCATTACAGAATAAATAACTTATTTATTGCTTGTCCATTAACCTGATCTACATAGCAAAAGGTACCTTGAAGAGAACCTGTAAAAGAGGAATAACCTGAGTACACAAAAAGTGAGGCTAAACTTTGGATGCAATCGTAGTAGATCCTCAGAGGCAGTGTATGTTGCATAAATAACTAAGGAAGAAGCTTAGTGAATCTGAGAGTGAACCAGAGACAGTAAAATGAGGTGTGCTCAGTGCAGAGAAGTCCTTTCATTTAGAAATTATAACCTTACTGAAAGGAGGAACAACAGGAGTTTTGCGGACTGACTACCAAGGTTTCAAGGCAATCCAAAGTGCTCCCAGATAGGCATGAAGCTTGTGCAGGACACATACGTATTAAATGGAAGTTGATTCCTAGAGCAGAGGAAAAAGTGGAGGGGCTTAGAGAGTAGATAAATTCACTGAAAATACAAAGGAAGTCAAACTGGAGCACACAAATTCAATTGAGGTAGCCAGGGAGAAAGAGCAAAGAGAAAAGAGTGTGTAGAAACTTCACAGGAAAGAAAAGGAAATAAAGTTGAGGTGAAGGTGTTAGACATCAAAGAAAGCAGACTTTAGGAAGAGCAGGAAGGAAACACAGTTACATACAGACTCAATAACCAAAAGAGATACTCTGTGCCCAACAAGACAGAAGGAGAAAAAGTCGAGAGTAAGAGAAGGGATTTGGAGACTAAGTGCTCACAATAAGCTGAATACTAAAAAGTAGCCAACAGAAGGAAACGAGGTAAGTGTCCTCGGTAACTCCATCCTGAAGAACCCCTGGTTAAGATGCATGTGAACCAGACAAGGAACCCCCCCCAAATTGTCCATTCACCACTAATTAGCATAAATTTCACTGCCAGAAAGTCAGTGAAGAGACTACTACGAATCTCTCAAGTTTTTCCATCCACTCAAGAGCATATTACACCATCAGAAATAGTATGCTGTCACAGAATGCCTCAAAGACTTGAGCCATAGTAACTGCTCCACTGCCATTCATTCACTGCTAAATATCCATGTAATTAAGAAAACAATGGCTAAACTCTAATCAACCCCTCTAGTGTGGAACGTGCATCTCACCAGTGCATGGAAGCTGCAAAGTTCTTTGAGTGACCATTCTTGAAAGGCACACCAGGTTCTGCATAAAAAGAGTTTTCAGATTTCAGAGCAGATAAAGAATATGATTTTGCTTCAGAACGTCTTGCATTAGAAAAATGTCCCCTTCCTGGTTCTTAAAACAAAGGACTGCTTTAAAAGATTTGATCTGAGGAGAGAAAAAAACTCTCAAACATTTCTTTGCAGTTGTCATAAAAATTGTTAATGTGAAAATTAATTTGGCATTTCAGCTGATGTATGGAGGAGGCATAAAACACTACAGTGTGAGCAGTATTTGCAAGAATAGTTTTCTTTTCTCATTGTCAATTCCAAGATTATATATTGGTGAGAAAAGAGAGAGGAGACTTTGCTTCTGTGCAGAAAGGCAGCTACTAAATTCTGTTGAAGGATTTAAAAGATTTTGGGTCATTTTTAATGTTTCTTTGGGATCTTTGGGTGTCGCATTGTGGGCTATGACTTTTTTCGCACAGGGGTGAGTTGTCTTAAGAAAAATGCTTAATGATACATACTAGTATGTTTTGTAAATGTTGATCAGTGACAGAAAATTTGAGAAGTAATTCCCAGTAATTCAGTCACTGTGGTGCTTGTCCATTTGGCAAATACTTTGTCACATCGCTCTGTCTTAAACAACAGTGCCCTGTACTCTCCAGAGGAGATCAGTAGAGAGAAAGAAACTTACTCCTGGGCTGAGAGAAACCATGTCTCTACTGCCTTGGCTTTTAGTGAACTTAGGTACATGTGATACATGTCAGGAAACACCAGCTTGACTGCTCAGGGTTGAAGGACTGTTAGACCTTTTCCTTGCCTTCTTCACCTTCCAGCAAAACTCCTCTTGTAGACCAAAATTAATGGATGCTATGGGAAATAAAGGGGGAATATGGGAATTGTCATCCTGAGTGAGACCAATAGACAACCACTACAATGCTGTAGAAACCAGTTTTAATGTGTAGATCCCTATATTGTATGGTGGTTTTTTTTTCCCCACTGAAGGTGTTGGCCCCTGGACTGACAAGAGCTGATAAGTCTCTAGATACGGACTTTATTAGACTATGCCTACACTTTAGAACCAAGTGCTGGTATCCTAGTGGTCCTGACTTTACGTTAGGGTGAGATTCAGGTGTGCTCATGGCTCCTTCTGCCCCTGCTCTCTCCCGGTTTCCACACAAAAAGTCTTGGATGCCTTGACCAGGAGTTCATTCCGTATGGTAGTATATCCTGTATCTGAAGGATGGTGGTGGGCCAGATCTAGAAGATGTGCCGTAGCCCATGTTTCTGTATAGTCTGGTCAAAGACTTAGTCAAATCCTTGAAAAATAGTCTATGAGTAGAATGTGGGTATTAGTACACAGATTCTGTTAAAATGTCCACACTACACTGGCTGAGACAGACTGCCCAAAAGACAAGTGCTTGCAATGGCAAAAAGTAGTTGTTCCAGATAGTCTGTCGTCTGTAAAAAAATCTCAGCAATTAGAAACTGGCTTTTACTCTTAGACAAGAGATTTTTTTCTCTCTCTCCTTTTTCAGTAAAAAGTTTAACTTACTAAAAGGTATCTCAGGATGTCTTTTTTTTTTTTTTTTTTTTTTTTTTAAGTAATTAATGTAATGCAAAACAAAGTTAATTTGCTGCGTTCGAGATGGAGAGCTGTCATTAATCCATATTTCAAACGCAATCTCATACTGCCATGCAGAAATGTTATTAATTATTGAGCACCAAATGTGTGCTTGGCACTGTTAACCCCAGTGGAACAGAGTAAATCCACATAGGAGTAATGTCCTGATGAAAAGTGGTGTTTCCACAGAAACACTTAAGAGGAGAGAGGTTGTATAGCCAAATCTCATTGTAGAGCAAGAGCTAATAATGTATTTGGGACTTAAGTTCTGCATTGCAGTGGCTAATTCCTAAGAACTTTGTTAATTAATGGGATTCCAGTTTTTAGTCTGGATACTGAAAATTGTATTAGGTGTCTAAAACTCTTTCTAAATCAAGCTTTTTCCACAAGTTAACAATAATCAAAGCAGGTAATATCTATTATTTGAACCCTAGACCTCTCATTTTGGCTATTTTGGAATAAACCTGAAGCAAGACTTTTTGAAAGCCCTGAAATTAACGGAGAAGAGGAGAGGGGATTCAGAAGGGTTTACAGTGTTGATGAAATACCGTCTTTCTGCTTTCCATCATTTTTACAGAGAATTTTCAAAGTGCTTGTGCCTGGAACTTGGACAGATTGCTGAATGCAACAAAGCCATTCACCTTTCCAAACCTAGCTATATATTTTAATTCTCAGATATTACACACAAGTAGTAGTTTTCACCTGCAATATTACTGGGTCTTGATATTAAGGAATGATGAAGAACTCACATTTCATAGCAGCAGAGTTAAGGCTGGCCTTTAGACTAGATAAGGCAGTATGTGTATGATTTCTACATAAATTGTAAAGAACGAAATATGAAAAATAGCATTGTTTCTGTAGGGGCTGTTTTGAACTACAAACATACGGTGTTCTTGAAAATCAGTTCTGTGAGATTGGTCATGCTGTCCTGACATTGCATCACACTGCACTAAATACTTTTAAAGGAGTCTTAACTTACTGTGTGACATTTTCCTATTTATATAATGGCTAAAATAAATGATATATTGTTAAGCACGGGAGCTTTTGTTCCTTTTAAAAAAAATCAGCATATAAACATTGTTTATACAGCAATAGTGCAATTTCAGCAAGCAAAATTACTTTAAAGGCAAACACACAATTTGTTTTTTTGCAAGTCCAGAATAATCTTTTCCTTTTTTTTTTTACAACTTTTTCTAATTAAGCCATTATATGTAATCGCAGCTGGTAAATTAAAACAACATTTTGATGGAATGATATGTGAGGCATTATACTGGCTCAAGGGAAGGTCAGACCGATAGCAAAATACTACCAGCAGGTTTATTTACCTTCCTCCAGAAAGGGTATTTCTGAAATGTTGGACATTGTACAGGACTTTTGTAGAGCAAGGTCTTATTTACTCAAGTCTTCTTTTTCTACCCATTC